GTGTGCCGGAAACCTCTCCGATGCCTAAGTCAGAAAACTTGACAAATAGACAAAGCTCTAAGTTCTCAGAAAGATTGTGTTCAATTACCTCCTCCAAGGAGGTGCTTGTGAGCTTTTATAGGTTTCGAGTGGCATAATCCTAGTAGGACTTTTATTTCTCCATGCAGAGTCCTCCTAGGATTCATACTCCTAAGGATAATGCTTATCCTTTTACACCCTCCCCCACTGCTTAAACCAAGTGGGATGGTTTTCTCCATGGCCGAATCACCATTTGACCGAAGTAACACTGGCTATGCTGAGCCACAGAGAAGACCGAACTATCCTTAGCTCGGTATTCTCCTCCAACTCCTTATCTCGGCTTTCCCCCGTTCAACCATGATGCGATTAGACCAAGCTTCTGAGTAGCAAGCTCTGGCCGACCTAACCACAATACACCGCGACCGGATTAACCCGAGACCGGACTAACATCAAGTTACCTCCAGACCGGAGTAGCTTTATACCATCTAGGGCCGAAGCAATTACTCCTCTTCTAAACCGGAGTAACCATACCTCTCCTGAGCCGGAGTAACTATGCTTCTTCTGGACCGGAATATCATTGCGGCCTTTTACTGAGTCCTTCACACTCTGGGCCTCAAAGCCCAATCACGCAGCTCGGCCCAATTCTTCTCAAAAATTACCCTCTCATAATGCAATAAGACACTCATAATACTATAAATTTAAACTGAATTTAAAAATTATTTAAAACTATCATTTTGTGACTTAAATTTATTTTATACATGAATTCACATTATATAAATTTAATTTTAACCCCACAATCTCTTTTGGGGGTAAATTTAGAATAGTTATACGTAATCATAGAGGAGGCACTTAGATACTAAGATAAGTGAGATTTCAAATTCGAGTTTATGGAGAGACATTAACTACATTATAATTTAACTATCGAATTATTTTGAGAAGTATGTTAAAAGTTAGTCTTTTAATTTTTTGACTTTTTTTGAAAAAAATTATAAAAAAATAAATAGGTGATATGACTCAAAAGAGATTAAAAGTTAAAAAATTAACTTTTAACCTCTTCCCAAAAGAGGCCATGTATGGATTTACAAACTAGGGGTTAAGATCATATTCATAATTTTTTTAGGAGATTCTAATTTATCTGTTATTATTATTGTTGTTGTTGTTGTTGTATTTATTTTTCTCCTTATATTTAAAATTTTGGATTAATTAAACTTATTCTTTTCAATAATTAGTAATATTACTTTATTCTTCATAATTTTAAAATCCCACATTTAAATCCCTCATTAATAAATAGTATAAATATTCTTTTGAAGGTATGAAAGTGAATTAATATTTATAAATAAAGATCTAAATATGTAATTTTAAAATTAAAAAAAAAAAAGTAATATTCAATAATAATAGTTGAGGGAATAGACCCTAGAATGTAAAGCTGATGTGATAACTTGAATCTCATTAATTATTTAAAAAAAAAAAAAAAACTGTCTAATAAGGAAACAAAGACAATAGAAAAGCAATCCTATTAGAACTATAACTCCTGAATAAACTAAAATTTAATCTCTTCACTTTATTCTTCATCTAATGTCTTTTCAATCTCATAATTTCTCGTCAGTTGAAAGAAAATAGTGACAGTAAAAGTACCCAAGAGATGTAGTGCATGGTGAGGAAATACTTCCTCAATCTGGATAGCATGTAAGAATTGTACTACCTTAATCCAGATAATAGCAAAACAAGCTTACATTCTCATGTAGTGTTAATGATCACCAAGAGAAAATCTCTAATTTGGTCTCCATAAAATGTGAGTCCCATGTTCTAGTAATCCCAATCCCATGTTACAATCCACACGATCAAACAGACCTAAAAGCTCTAGTGATGGAAGAGTGGTGTACTACCCATTGTTAACAATGTACTACCATGAATTCTTATATAGTTATTTTTATGCAAGTGCCTCATAGGGTGGGCATGGATTAAGTTGGTTTGGGTTAGAGCCAAACCCAGAATTCAACCGACAACCACCCTTGGCTGGTTCCAGAATTTTGGACCCAAAACCAAACTGACCGGAATCAAGCCAACCCAACCTGACTTAATTCAGGTTGGTTTGGATTGGTACCGTGGTTCCACCTTAATTTATTCATTTTCTAATTACTCATTATAAATGAAATTTTAGGAAAATAGTTTGTAGAAAATCTAATATAACATGATTGTGTGCAACAAAGTGTACTATGATAAATTGTCACAATCAATTATATGAATACATATATAATTTTGTAATATATAAGTGTGTGTCTGTGTGTGAGCAGTTCTTGGGTTGGTTCAGGTTAGCCCGATGCCAACCCAAAAAGCAAACCAACCTGGTCAGGTTGGCTTTTTTGGGCTAGGTTGATGTTAACCCAAAAACCAAGCCAACCTGGTTGGGTTGGTTTGGTTCATATGGATTTTCCAAGTAGTTTGCCCACCTCCTCATGAGCAGGCTTGAGCATTATCAGCATGGTGTTGTAATGTGAAGAAGATCTGCCTACTCTGGTAACCATTTTAATATTTTAATAGGCAGTTATTCTAGAAGTGTGAGCTGATAGTAAATGGTGTCTTAGTTGTAACATCAATACTTATTTGGCTATGATTCTTGAAAATTTATGCTTTTTTAACTGATAAATGAGCTTGAACCTCTCTTGAGACCCTGCTGTAAAGTGGGAGCCTTTTGCACTAGATACGACCTTTTCACGCATACATTTATTCTTCAAATGGAATTGTTGGGAATGAATATCTATCAGATTATTGTATGCTAGTATACTTACCATTAACACAAATAAATCATTTAATATTTTCTCTGCTGATTTCCACTTTCTGACTAGTCCAACTCTTTTGTGATGATACAGGTTGTATTTCCAAGCTTTGGTGAGAGGTATATTTCCACTGTTCTTTTTCAGTCTATTCATGATGAAGTCAGAGAAATGCAACAAAGATAGTGTTCAACTTTGCTCACTTTTTTCATTTAAAAGGTAAGGTGTTAGCAACGTTTTTAAGGTTACCCATTGTTGTAGCGAGGTGACTTATTATTAATTGACATATATCTAAAAGTGCAAATTTTTATGTCAAGGCACATTAATCCAGAGATAGCTTTCGATGGAATGAGAAAGACTGTTGTTTGATCAAAGTGTTGATGAGAATGTTGTTCAAGTTCTGGTTGCCAATGAGCTGCTTTTACCATGCGCTTTCGTTCATTGTGTGGCAAAGAATTAGACATAAAGAGGTGAAGAGTCGGCTTTCAACAACGGAGTCGATCTAGCAGAAAGTTGTATATTATGCTAATAGTGATACATTTGCAAAGAGTTTGAATCCATACTCTTATTGATGAATTAGAAGATTTTGACATCATTTGTTTCAATGGAAATTACTTCCGGGTGGAGAACTCGAATTCTCAGTTTAAGGGAAAATTTTCTGGTAGGAAGAGGAAAAATTTGCAAAAAATTCTGATATTTTCACATTGTTTTTAGTTGCTGCTTCAATTATTATTTTTGCCATATATGTTTCATTGGATCTCAAATTGCAAAGCTTAAATTTTGGTACAAATAGTTGGGTTATCACCAACTGTGTTTGGGAAGTCAGACTCATGCCCATTAATTTTGGGCCACTGGTTTCTCACAACTATGCCTTTGGTGGGCTTGTGGCTGAGAGCCAGCTGACTTGAGGAGCACTAGGGATCTTATGCTTATGGTCACACCCAATTCGGGTGGGTTTGGTGGGTAAGTGTAGAGGGGTCTGTCCAAGCTCAAGAGATCGGGTTCGGACTGGGTGTCTAAGTTTAACTCCAATAATATCTTTTGATTATTTTGTTTGTACTTTTTAAATCATTTTTTTTCAAAATTCCAAAAGAATGCATGGGGTGTAACTCTTTCAATCAAAACGGCTATCGGTGGAGGATAGTCGTGATTGTTGTAGACTCTGCATGTGGATTAGGGATAACTGAAACTAATCATTGATTAAGTCATCAATCTTGGCTGTTGAATTAATACAGACATTATGTGTATTGATTGTGTGTTGTGTATGTGATGTGTTTGCATACATTGTTTTGTGTGGGAGGAGATAGGGGATGTACTCCACGGTTTAGGGGAAGATAGGGGATGGACCTCTAAACCGGATTTTGTTTGGGAGGAGATAGGGGATGGACTCCATTAGCATCACTTTTATGTGTGCTTATTTATATTGAAGTGTTTTTATTGATACAACACTAAAATGTGTATCAAACTAGAAGTATGAAGTGTTTTGATTTGAGCCTGAGTCTCATTTGTTTGTTGATATTGGAAGATTGTGAATTTGATATTTATATGGTTCACTGCTGTAAGTTTGGCCAGGTTCTGAGCCATATTGATAATGCTGAAAAGTAAAACGTATCTTAGACATTAATATCATGAAACTGTATAGAGATATAACTGATTATCTTGGTTAACCAATTATTGTATGCTATTGCTTTATTCAAAGCTTATATTTGGTTTAGTATATTTCTACTGGGCTGTGGCTCACCCTTTATGGGAACATCATTTTCAGGTTCAGGTGATAAACTACCTCCAAGGACTTAGCTTGGGAGGGTTTGGCTTCTGGATTGAAGAAGACTACCTTTAGTTAATTGTCTTTATTTATTAGTACATGTAAACATTCAAGCCTAGGGCTTTTCTTGTATTGAGTTAGAACTCAAATTTTTTTGTATCCAAGTGTTGGCTTGGAAAGATGTAAGCCTGTAGGGCATTTTATTCGATGTTACATGTAATGCTTTTATTTAGTAATACTCTGATGAATGAATTAATAAATTGTTTTCTTTAAAGAATGCATGTCAATGATATAAATATAATGGGTTATTTTGAGGGCGTGACAGTTCGCTACTCGCAAGTAGGCTTAAAAAAACAAGTGTTGGCTTGGAAAGATGTAAGCCTGTTGGGCAATTTATCTGATGTTACATGTAATGCTTTTACTTAGTAATACTCTGATGAATGAATTAATAAAATGTTTTCATTAAATAATGCGAGTCAATGATTTATATAATGGGTTTATTTTGAGGGCGTTACATGTATGTATATACTGTTTGGTTCTGAATGTGAATACGTATGAAAGTCTTTTTGCATATAGACTGTCACAGCTCATTGGACATCTTTTATTACTGTTTTGGCTTCCGCCAGCCCATGTACTCTGTATTACTGTCTTTACTGTTAAGCAGGCCTTCGGTAATTACGGATTACTGGCCGGTTACGGTGCTAAACCCATAGGGGCGGGTTTGGGTCGTGACAGTAGTACCACTACAAGAAATTAGCTTTTTAGGGACAAATTTATTCCATCCCTAAAAGTGTAATATTTGTTGGGAAAAACTTTAGCCAACCAATTTTCTCCGTCGCGAAGTTTGTCCCAAATGTCCTGGCCAGAAAAGTCAAAAAATGACTTTAGAGACAAAATTTTGCATTTTGTCACTATAAATAGACTTTTAGAGACAAAAATATGTGGTTGTAAAAAGTTTTGATTTTGAGACGACCAAAATTTGTCTCTAAAAGTCTAATTACAGTCCAACAGGCGGAGTAGTTATGGAGACAAAAATTAATTTTTGAGACAATAGAAATTGGTCTCTAAAAGTTTAGTTTTTGGGACAAAACTGGCATGCAAGCCAGGGACTGCCTTGCTTCTGATGGATGACGCATGTCCGGGTTGTCTTACGCGGAAATCCACCGGGATGCCCCAATTAGCCCCTGTTTAGCAGTTATTCTTGAAACGCGTGCCAAGTCCCGAAAAGTTGCTGATTCTTCATTTTGCTGCAACAGAGAGCAGGAAAGGGGCATAGCAATGTATTTTCACAAATATATGCATGCCTCGATCCTCGTGCCACCAATCACGCATACCGAGGCATGATGGCCGAGGAGCCGAATTGCACAACTCAATATAGGATGAATGCACATGAAAAACACAACAAGACCTGACTCCATCATGGAAGATCCGGAGTGTCGGTGACTGGGAAATTGAGATACATTCCGTCACTCGGAGTACGGAATGCACCTCGTTTCCCGTGCCCGGGCTAACTCCTATCCCGAACACGATGCAATGTGCATGATATGCATGAAATGCAACTAAGATACAATCCTAACATACACAATGCTATGGAATGACATGCCTCGAAATGCGTGCACACGGACACGTAAACTGAGAAAATGACATGCACAATGCAAATGACATGGAAATATGATATGGGCTTAGACTAACATGAGAGAGCCTCAACCACGCTCACATAAGAGGCCGATGGATGAAAATGAAGTGCCTCGAAATGCGTGCACACAGGCACACAAACCGAGGCAATGGTATACGCAATGCAATAGCATGGAAATGGCATATAGAATGCAACATGGACTTACACTAACATGAGAGAGCCTCAGCCACACTCACATAAAGAGGCCGATGGATGAAAATGAAGTGCCTCGAAATGCGGCACGCAAACCGAGGCATTGGCATACGCAATGCAATATGGCTAAAATGATATGCAAACATGCTAATGGATTTTCAGCAATGAAATGTGGGGAAAACAGCCCCGAAATGAGGCGAAAACACACCCGATGCATGGAATCTCTCCCGAAATGCAAATTAGGCGCATAGAATGAACTACAGCTATACAAAGCATGCATAATTGGTACATGGAATGAAAAGACAGAAGCAAGGTAGCCCCAAAATAAGCATTTTACCAGTACAAATCATGGCCAAACAGCAAGCAAAGATAGGGCAACAATGGCATGCAAAAATGGCCCTAGCAAAAATGGCCCTAAATATGAGATTATGAAGCAACTCACAGCTGCTGACTTCAAACAGGTTAGGGCCCTTCAACAACATTGAAGAGGGGCCAAAAATATGATCTTTTACAGTTTATGGAAAACCACAAAAACCAGCACAAGCATAGCTAAACTTTCATGCAAGAAATGGGCCAAAAGATGGCCAAAGCACAAAGTATACTAAATACCCATCAAAAAGCCAACGGCCCTCAATGAAACATGAAGAATGGACCAAAATAAGACTATTTTTAGTACTGTAAAAAGGCCAAAAACCGAAGCATAATAGGTTGCCAAAACATGCAAGAAAAGGGGACCAATGAGGGATATAACATGAAGTAGCATATGGAGGTCCCAAACCATGAAAGGCCCTTAATAAAACATGAAGAATGGACCAAAATAGGACTATTTTTAGCACTGTAAAAAGGCCAAAAACCGAAGCATAATAGGCTGCCAAAACATGCAAAAATGGGACCCAAAAGAGAATATAAAGGCAAGTATAGCATGGAGGTCCCAAAAAGTGTTGAGCCCTTCTTCAATGTTGAAGAAGGGCTCAAAATAAGCCTAACCACAGTTTACATCATGCTCGAAAACAGATCACACATAGGCTAAAAGAATCATGCAAAATAATGGCATACAAAGGGGTAATGAAGAAAGTGCCAAAAATAAGCTTCAAACTGTAATAAGCCCTTAACGAAACA